GGGGGGGGGGATCTTGCAGGGTGTTTGACCCGGAAGGCTCGCAGCTTCCTGTTACAGCACAGGTCTGAGCTTTGTGTCCTTCAGCAAAAACGTCCACAAAACTGCTCCACGCTTCACTTAGCATGCTCTCACAGAAATGAGTGATCCATAAACCTGCAAGCTATGTAACGAGCGATGGATAATATCTTTGCCGGGCAACAAAAAATTTATACATATTTGGAAAACAAACAAAAAAATGGTTTAATAATTAATTCTCATATAACAGACTCAAGTTTCTGTTACCTCTATTAGGTCAGAGTGCATTATTATTGTCCCTCTCTGCATGTTAGTGCCTGTCTGTTAGCAAAATATTGCATGATCCACTAAACTGATTGTATTGGAAATTGCATTAAATAATAAATTTAGATGAGTGGTGGGATCTCTGCTTAAATTGTGAAAAAACAAACAAACGAGCAATTCCTTCAAAGTATGTTTAAATCTATGTTTTGCTCCAGCTCCAGCAGTCCATAACTGCAGCCCCCACACTTCACAAACATGTCACTCTGAAGTGACCACATGTGTGCACGGTGCAGGTACGCTCACACACGTATGCAAAAACCTCCCAGCCCTCACCTTTTCTCTCTCTCTCTCTCTCTTCTACAACTGTTCCAAACACAATCTGCACCCCTGCCTCGTCCAACTCCCACCCCTACCCCACCCTGTTCATGGCAGCCACCCCTGAGGCTTGTGCGTGCAAACCCAGCTCTAGACTCGCTGCACCCCCCCACTACCTTATACTGAGAGCGCAGAAGGAAATGAAAGCTTTCGGTGTTCATTATGAAACAACAACAACAGCAGCAGTAGGGGATCGGCCTCCTGGGACCACAAAGCCCCCCACGCCATCCCTCCATCCTTGTCTTTCTTCTTCATGTCCACCTGAGTCCAACCCTACTGTTCACGGCACACTCCTGTCTCTCTCTTTTTTTGACATCCTTCAGCTCTGCTAAGAAGAACACAGCTCTCTTTAGGCAGAATGAAGTTAAATATTGATCTGTAATATTACAGTACGATCAGTTAATATGGTGTGTCAGTAGCGAAGCAACATGAACTTCGCTGACCTCGAACTTTGAAAAGATGTTCATGCATTTTATAAAAGGACACACAGCAGCTTGTGTTGGAGTTATCCTTTGGTCATGCTGCTATAGGCTCAGACTGCTGAAGGAGCTGATGTTTTTACTCTCTTTAGTTCAGGTTTCTGTTGTTAACGTCACAAAGGTCTTCCCATAGAAACTACACCCGGACCAATCATTCTATATTTGCCTGCGTGTCTCTCTTGACCTCTGAAACCTCAGTCGGTCGAGCAGGGCCGGCCCCAGCCAACTTGGCGACCTGGGCAAGATTTCAGGCGGACACCTTGAGCAGTTTTCTAAATCTCACTGCCAGTTTATACACATTCACATACCAAATTAAGCAGTTTGGTCTTTAATGTTATTTTTATCTTTAGAAACCAGGTTGTCCAGTTAAAATAGTTAACAATATAATTTAGTTGAAACAGAAGGAGTTTACCTGCCAATATCTGCGGACATCATGAGGAACACCTGTGGTGCTGTGGACTGAAACCGTTCTAGGGGGTGGGGTCCAGGGTTAAAAAATGATCAAAGTTTTACTCAAAACAATACATTTTCCAGCCCTTTGAGAAGCATTTTACTCAATTTTGGGGGATTAATAAAACAACACGAAGTCAGTATTTTATGAGGGTAGAACACTGAAAACCAGACTTGAACCTGAACTGTGTCTGAGATCACAACGGAAACGTCCATCATCTTTATTTTGTTTTCTGTTTCCACACTGAGCACCAGGAGTTAGTCTTGACTGCATCATATCACACTTTAATCACAAAATATCCTCTGCACCATATAACACCTCAAAACAAGTTACATTTAAAAGCCAGAGTAACCAGTGGTTATCGTACTGACTAAATTAACAATAGTCTGATAAAAAATTATACAACGTATTTTTGCTGGAGGTTTCTACCTGTTAAAGGGAGTCGTTCCTTTCCAAAGTGGCCAACTTGCTGCTCAGGATGTTGTGGGATTAGAAGCTGCAGCATCTTTAAATAGATAACTTTTATCAACTGACTTTACATGGTGTACTTTGTGTGAACTTTGTAATATAACTGTAATTAGATTTGAATCGGAACCTCTTTTGAGCTAAATTTGACTTACTTTTGTTGTAGTGTCCTTGATTGCCTTGTGTTGTGAACAGCCGTGGTATAAATAAGCTGAATTTAATTAAGTCTGCAGAGCAATGTTAGAAAAGCACACCCTGACATTATTATTAAAACCATCCCAACGGTTAATCTGGTGACAAACAGGCACACAAACACAAGCAAAAACATCATTGTCCACTAATTTGCTCTAATTATACCTTACGTTTCACCCACAAAGAGATTTTTTGGARTAATTAAAACCTGTGAAATTGTTTTGTGATTTGCTCCAAAACCCGAGGTCTCAAGTTGAACAAGTAACAATACAGTGTAATTATAATAATAAGAGAGCAACTTCAAAAGCATCTGAGCATGCTAAAAGTGCTTTGTACAAAAGGCCTCTGTGTGCTGCAGGTTCACTGATGCACCCATGCAAATTATGATTCACGGATAATGGCACATAAACGGTTCCCATCGAGGTTCTGGGGGCAGCCCTTTGTAACTTTCTAACAGTCATTTGGGGGTCAAATGCACTGCAAGGCCGCGGTGCTCTGACTCGATGCCTTTGTCATCGTCGTCATTATGATTGCCATCGGAGTTGGTGCGCTGGCCAGGGGCAGAACACCTGTAAGCGGCCCACCCCCTCGGGTTTCGCTGAGCGGCTGAGGGTGACGCAGCGAGACCGCATCATTTTCAGATGAAAAGGAGCGCAGGGCTTCGTCAGCAGGAAGTGGTTTTCGCTCGACAGACGCAGAGTTTCAGGCAGGTGGATTTGTGTGTGTGTGTGGGTGGGTGGGTGTGTGTGTGCGGTGGAACAGTTGAGCACCTTGGGCGACTGAGAAAAACACATAAAACACGTAACTCTTACAAATGTATGTCTCTTTATTAACCTTGTTTTAAATAAAAGTGTGAAGCAGCAAGATAAAACCTTTTGATAATGGATYATACATTTGACCACATTCGCGGGACCTGTACAGACATCGAAAATAGGATATTTCAAACAAATGCAGAGGGAACGACAAGTATCTACAGAGAGGATAACTCTGCACAGCTCATAAATCTCACTGATATTTGCCAAAAAAGTTGAAGTGAGGTAGAAAATTACAATTCCACATTGGCAGATGCCTGGAGCCCCGATGTGAGTTATATATACAGCTCAGGGTCGCTCAGATAAAACAGAAACATACAGTTTTGGGTCCGGCGTGGCCTTTCAACCTGCACACATGGACAAAGAGTTGCAGTAAGTGGAGTAAACACGGTTATTTTCTTTGATTAGCAATTAGGGAAAATAAGGAGCACGATTGATTCACTTCAAAGGCACGAAGAACAAAGATGTGGCTAATTTAGGCTAGGAAAGCCAAATAGTTTAGAAAGGCCTTTTTACCCATGAAAGTATCTGAACACGTGGGCTTCTATAAATACTTAAAATTAGAGGGGGAAAAAAAGCTGGTATGTTCCCAAATTGAGTTAAATTTCAAAGAGAGTCCGTGTCACCCTGTCCCTTTGTTCTGCTCCGCACATGTAGAGATTTCCATAGACATTTCCATAAGAGCAACTGAAAAAAAACCTCAGTGTTCTTCTTTACACGATAACCCTGTWAATGCATGTAATGTACATCAGCTTCCAGTGATTCTATTTAGACCTTAACGTTAAAAACGCACTTTGCAGAGCAACCTTAGTGCTTTTCTTTTTTTTTATTGTTGTTGTTGTTGTTTCCATTTTTTTAATAAAGAACTTTAAACGTTCCCCACAGCAGTCACACAGACAGACAGGTAAGCTTCCTCAACTGAAGCCTCGCCGGCGACACTTGATCATAAGATTTAAAATGTAAAGCAGCAAAATGAGAGACAGAGTTCGGCACAATAAATAGTCAAATGTAGGCGAGTGAATACCAAACAACAAAGCAGTCAGGGCTCTCAGATAGCTGGGCTTCAGTGTCGTCCTGCTGGCTGAATCCCGTCCAGGGTCTGCTTTTATTTATTTATTTATTTTTTTATGCTTTTCCCAAAAAGTGGGATTTCAGTGCATCCAGTGAGAGAAAAGCAGGTCAGCTGCACAGCCGCAGCCAGCTGCTGCAAATCAAACCAGCGATGATTAGCAAGTAGCCAGTAATATGATAGTGTTACAGTTTCCTCCCAACATAACATGCAAGTTTTGTTAAACATTAAGTCTTTGTCACATTTTCTCTTTGCTTTCCTTTCTTTTACATCCAAGTCTTCTGTGTTTTTTTTTTTTTGGTCTTTTTTTTTCTAGTTTGTTTACGCGTTCTTGCAGGTGTACACCTCCTCCTCCCTCACGCACGTCTGACACTCCACGTGGCAGCACCAGCGCACCTGGCAGTGGCAGGAGAGGCTGGTGAGGCGCACGGCCGTGTTGTAGCCGCGGCCGCAGCACAGGCTCTGGCAGCTCGTGTCCTTGGTGCACGACCGGCCCCCCGTGCCGGGCGAGTAGCGGGACGGCCTGCAGAAGCTGGGCGAGTCCTCCAGGTAGACCAGGTCGGTGGCGCGTAGGCTCTGGCCGTGGCGGCGGGGGCCGGCGAGCTCCGTTTCGCCCGTGGCCACGTTGGTGACGCTCAGCACCCGCACGGCGCTGTCGTAGCGGTACTTGAGCAGCCGCCCCGTGTCGTGGAACGGCGACAGCTGCTTCCAGCAGGTCCGCACGGCGCAGGAGCCGGAGACGCCGTGACACTTGCAGGTCGTTTTCAGTCCACTCTTCACGGCCTAAATGGGGGTGTGGGGTGGGCGGGGGGAGAGAGAGGGTAGAMATGTCAGATCTTTCAGCTTGATTCATTACCTGGCCTCTTATCTGTGGGCCCTATCTGCACAGAGGGAGACAGTTTCCTGCAGGGTGAGTTGAGGCTTCAGAGATGCAGCTACAGCTCAGTCAAAAATGCTCAAATAATGGATCGAGGGGCGAAGGCTTTTTCAGCTCGTCGTATTTCTTTCGAGTCGCATTTCTCAGTGTGTCGAAACTAGCCCCCCCACCCCACCACCGGAGCCCGAGGCGGAGGAGACGAGAGGCGCAGACAGGGGGGGCTGCCACTCTCCGCCCCAGCTTCTGCGGCGTGCCCGTTCAAGGAAAAGGTCGATCAGAATTTCTGTTCGAGAAAACACGTGGCGTTGGTCCGCCCGGCGTGGGTTAATAGTTCACCGGGCTGGACGGTCAGCGATGAGAGCGCGATCAGTCAGGCTGAGAGCTGCTGTCGTGGCGGGGCCAGAGATAGGTCAGACTCGAGAGAGAGAGAGAGAGACAGAGAGAGAGAGAGAGAGAGAGAGCCGGAGGGCACTGCTGGGTTGAAAAGTTCTGCTCAGTTCCTCCCTTTGCAGGTATGAACCCCTCGGGGGGGCTTCTGAGCACCATTACTGGGAGCTGAGAGGGGAACCTAAACCACTTGTTTTTTTTTTTTTTTGGTAAACTCTTCTCAGCCACAACAGTGTTAAAAACTTTTAACTCAGTCGAGATGAGATAAGATAGAGCTCTTCCTGTTGTGATTTTCCTTCTCGTCCCCGCCGGGCCCGTCTAAAGGTGTGAGCCACAAGAGCAACACCCCGGGGGCTCRCTTTTTTTCACAGCCTCAGAGTAGGGGGTTATGAACATTAGGTGGATTTATGAAGCGCACAGGGATCCAGTAAGCGGGAAAAAATGCTTGCTCGTATATTAAAAAGGGGCCACRGTTATAATCGCTCTCTCCGACGCGAGGCCTTTAATTTTCTGTTGGCCCGCACAGCAAGCTTTATCATGCCTGAGAACACCTGGCTCCAGCGATCCTACAGCCATCTTGTCTCCGTGCTGCATCCAGGTTTACCCACCCAGGCCGAACATGGCGGCGAATGCGACGGGAAGGGGGCGTGTCTGACTGGAAGCCTGGAGTTTTGTATCAGCTGACGCTATAAACTGCTTCAGGTTTAAATCTGCAACCTGATGATTTTAGTGAAATGTCTTATTTGTAGTGTTTTTGCACACTTTTATCATTATTATTTTTAAATGTCACATTTCCACACTCACCCGAATTCCAACGTTGATGTTGTGGGCRTCCATCTGAGCCCTCAGGTCCTTGCTGACCCTCTTCTGGCCGAGGAACCTCTTGAGGAACTTGGTGCTGTATTTCAGGTTGTCGCCGCAGACCCCCCACTGCCACGCCTCTCGGTGCTGGATGCCGGGGGAGTCGTCGCACGTGCACCTCTCCATGCGGCCCGAGCTGCACGCCTTGGCGAGGGCGTGGGTCAGCGCCGCCGAGGACACCGCCAGCAGGAAGGCGGTCTCCTTGAACGCTGGAATGAAGAGCAGACGCAACGGTTAAAATGGAAGAAAAACAATGTAACTGTTGCTTCATGTCTGAGTTATTTTGCGGTGTTAATTTATAACAACTCATTAAAAWTTTTCACTAAAAAAACATGTTAGATTTGCTTAATCTTATTATGTTGACTGGTTCGGCTCAACCGAATTGAGTAAATGTTAAACAAGTTTTACATTCATTCAGCTCAATTGAGTGGAACCATGTTGACATCCAGTAATTTGGTTAAGTGAATCTAACGCATCTGTTTTTGTAGTGCAGAATGAAAAAACAACTTATAGTTTACAARCGTTCTGCACGTTTTCTTGTATCCTAACTCCTCTTCTGACCTTTCTTTGTGGCTGTGCACTGTTATTTCCTTCACCCACAGCCACCACCAGGGTATATTTTGATCCAATTAATTATTATTTTGACTAGGAAGGATTTTCCCAGATGAAAGTGGGCAATCACACCACCCTTTTCCTCTGGGAATGGGCATTTTCCCTCGAGACAAAATAATAACCACCGGGTTGCTGCGCCGCACTACAATTCTCCGAGCTCTGCTCCCTCATTATGCTGCACCTCTGTGCTGACCTGTTCATGTTGCTCCCACACGCTCACATCCATATGCAGAAAGGCATTTTTTTGTGTGCGCAGCAGATATGATCTCCAATAAAGCTGTGGCGTCAAGCCGCACAGGGACATTCATCTTCCAGAAAAGATCAAGGTGTAACTCTGATTTGTTGCTTTTGTCATTAAAAAGTGACCAAAGTTTTAGAAAATGCAGTGGAAATTTGCTGCTAATTTTTTGTGTTGCAAAATCAGAAAGAACTTCAAAATACCCCCCAGATAAGCCAACAAAACCAAACTATTTTATAACTGAATTAAACAAAATCTGCTCAGAATGGGTTTGTGTACAGATTAACAAGGACTCATTTAACTTTTTATTAGAGTCAGACAAAACAAATAATTGAATATCATAAAAAAATGTTTTCTTATTTTTAGGGTTTCACTCACATGTCTGTATAAGTGTGTTTAGAAAGTTTAACAAATTGTGACAAACAYGAGGAGTCCACAGGGAAATCTTTGCTTCAGCTTTTTGGACATTTAGTAGATTTTTTTTAAAAACACTGAACTTGTACAATCTGGGAGTTTTGAAAAGATTTATAAATGTCTCACTAACTGTAAATAAAACGCATGAATGTTAAAGTTTTAATAGAAGCTTTCTGACTTTTATGATCTTCCAACATAATTCTACTCTTGCTCTTTAAAACTTGTGATCAAATGAGTAAAAACAAAAATTTAAGTGCCTTGCCTCTTTTCAAGAGGCTCCCCCGGCCATCCAGGCTGCAGTTCCAGCGCTCGTTCCTGAACTGATAGCGACACTCCAGCAGGCTGAGGCGCACCGACTCCCGCAGCGTCTCGGCCAGACCTGGTTCCCTGCGGCACATCCGCTTCTGCCGCCTGGTCAGACTCATCTGCTCGCACTGCTTCAGGTGGGCCTTTCCTGTTGGAGCGTCATTGGAAAACGGACCCGGTAAAAACACCAAGGGCTCGCGACCTGTCAGCCTACACAGTGAAGGGAAAAATAAAACTGGGATTAAAAAAAATTACACTTTTTTTGGTTATATTCCAATAATAATTCTCTAATAAATAAATAACAACACATTTGTGACTTTTTGAAGAGAAGGTTCAAAAYGGTGCGTCAGCCTAGCAATCTCCCAACAAATCCACTAAAATTGCTTCAAAATTTGTAATTAAGCTTATTTTAGTTAAAACAGGCATGATAAATGCTGACATGTTTACATTGCAACATATTTTCCCACATGTTCTTCAGGCAAAATAACACATTCCTTGAGTTTGAGCGCATTTTACGCGTGCGTAATTTGGCTCGAGCGCGTAAAGCCGAAGTTATTATTTGTCCTAGGGAATATCCTAAAAACAAAAACAAAAACAAAGAACAAATGCATAAAAAGTTGATGGTCTGACCCAAAGTAAGCTGCAGTGTGAGAGAGAAGGATGCAGAGCGCAACGATTCGGAATAAGCAGGCGGTCCTTGGGACTGGGAGCCTGGAGCGCATTGTGCCGGGTTGGCGCCGTTCCTCATTTCGCTGATTCTTCAATGGAGAAAGTCGGTGCCGTGTGTTCGGCGCGTCTCTTTAAGGAGCCCCCCACATGCACAACGCTGTGGAGGCGATGCGCACGGCCCCGTATGGCCCCCGTGGTCCGCTGGGAGGCAGGGCTGCATCCTCCTGCCGCACCCTCTCTGGACTCTCCTTAGCAGTGATCCTGAATGTTCCCTCCCACTGAGACGCCATGCGTACAGCTTCCAAGAGACCCTTAAATAAAAGTATATTTTGTTGTTGTTCACAAACATTTAGCAATGTAACTATATATTCATTATTTAAAAGCTCAGGCTTGAAACTGTTGCCTGTCAACATAACGTCAGCAAAATAAACTTGAAAACTACACGAAAGTCCRTATAAATAAACATTGTAAGGAATAACATCTTAATGATGACAATGAATCTTAATTTAATCAATGTGAGCAAATACAAGTGCACAAAGAGAAGTAAAGAACTGTTTGTGCCATCATCTCTTCCTTTTCCAATCATATCCTTGTACAGTCATGRATGAAGCGCCATCTAGTGAAAGCTGCGTAACACTAAAATCTAAAAACTACAGCTGACATAAATTTAGGGCTTAAATATTATTGCTTTGAATATACAAAGTCTTTGAAAATTGCCGTTTTGTTTTGAAATAGCCTTACAAAAGAGCAGCATATTTACTTGGTAGATGAAAATACATTTGACGACTGAAATTCCATCTCTAACCTTGTGGCGGTGCAAATCTAACRTTTCTGCATTTTTAGCGCTTATAAAAAACGAAGAAGAAGAAAATGACGCGTTGGAGGATGACGAAGAAGAAAAGGCCGCTKGTGTTGTGTCGAAAAAAGTCGCCCTACTCTAGGAAGCGCATTTGAGGGCAGTCATCCAAAATCATATTGTAGTGATTTTTAATTGAAACTTGTCCGCACATTTGGGCTTTGGGATATTTACAGAAGAGAATCAGCAATTAGATAAAGGTTGTGGACTGTAGACTAAATAAAACATTAAAAAAATGACAGGGCAATTTTAGACAATGYTATGTCACGGGTGTCAGAATGACGAATTTTATGAGGCAAGGGAATAGGCTGTTACTTCAGTATTCAGAAAAAAATATTTATTTTAAATTACGTTTTTTTATTTGGCTTTTTTGACTGTTAGAGAATGAATTTGCTCTGTGATCACATTTCCGTGACAGAAGGGGCGGTAACGCACCCACTCACCACCAGTAAATAATTAGAGGAAGAAGACAGGTRGGTCTATTTGATGTGGGGGTACATTTTTTGACACGACACCAGTAAACGCCATTTTACCATTGAACGGGGCCAGTGAAGAAGCACCGAGGAACACCAGCAAAGGTAAAACTAAAATTAAATAATGTAAAGCTCCGTTTGATTTAAAAGAATTTGAAGACTTATCATTTTAAATAAATACTGGCTTTTCGCTACAATTTCTCTAAGCACAGTTGGTATTTAGTCGTGTAGCTAGTTAACTCCGACTTCTTCGTTAGCTTCTCCCGTAACTTCAGTAGGAGTCAGTTCTCATTCATTTTGTTTTCTGCTAGAATTTAGATAATTAAAATATAAATTTCTAGTGGACTTACCAGTCGCTGCTATGTTCACATGTCGCTTTGTGAAGATAATTTCATTGTRAGATCCGTGAATGGCTGGGAGTCATTGAAAAGCTAGCATGCTAATAGCATAATCTGTCACAACTTCTCTTTGTCCTAATTTGCCTTTTTTTATGTCGGGTTTAAAAAATAAGTGATCTCATAACTGAATAGGAAGCCTGAAATAACATTAATTGTTACTTTAGGAGTATTAAAGCTCTATCTAATATAATATTAAACCTAAAAGCCCAACATTTCGCTTATTGGTGTAATAAGTCAGCTGACGAAGCTTGACGCGTGAGTGAAGACGAAATGCTTGTTTTCTTATCGACCCATGTGGTTTATTACGTTTTATGACAGTTGACGTATAATAAACTTACAATATGTATAAGCAATTAGCGAATWAAAATACTAGAAGTCATAGAAAGTTAATTCTGATTAAAGCAATCCACAGCATTAATGGTAAACTGTCTACATAGGATTGGGCCACAGATTAWCAAGCCATTATATCCACCCAGTAGTTCATGTTATATTTTGATATCAAACAGAGTTAAGTCCAAATGTCGCTGCTGAATTTTAAGCTAAGATCTCATGCAATGAATGAACAGTATTTGAAGTATGAATGACACCAGACCTAAGATGACTCCAAATATAATATTGGCAAATATTTTTTTAATAAACGTGCACGATCTGACAGCACTCGGAATGTGTGTTAGGAATAAGTCTCAGCTACTACTAAACAAAGTACTGAGTATTGAGTACTGCAAACTTTACAAGTTCAGTACATGTAAAATCTAGTGACTGACAGTAACAATTCAAAATTTCAACTCTTACCTTCTTAGTTCAAACTGGGACACAGCTTCCATTGTTGAAGTGGGTTTGCTTACCTCTTGCACCCATTAAATCCAAAATGAGACGTGTCCCAAAAATTCCTTTGGTGACTGCAACAAGACGCGAAATATCTTGTTGATACTAAAGGGAACCTGTTTAACCTGTATGGACTGGAAACATAACTTTCAGGTAACCAGTGGATTGTAATTAGAAAGGCTTGAACTTTTTATGAATGAACTTTACTGTTTTTTTTATATTTTTTCCCCCTGTTTTAAAAGTCGTAATTCCTTAATGTGCAGTGTGGTAAGAAGACTGTACATATCTTATTGTTTTGGCTGAATAGTTGTTGTAAAAGGCTGCACAACACAGATGGGTTGTGTTTATTTTTTGAACAGACAAAATCTGTTGGCCGCTGTCTTTTTTTTTTTTTCTTTTCAGTGTAACCCACCACAGGATTATTTTAGTATTTTATGAATTCGTCAACTCCTTCTGTTTGTGTGCTTCAAAAAATTACACAATTGTTTTGATGTCACAGGGTTGTGGTTTACAGTTGTCATCAGTTTTGGACGACCTCGCCTACACCGGCTGAAACCGTGACGGTGTGACGTGTGTTTACAAATGGCACAGCGGTGTTATGGAAACGGATGCTTTRCAACAATGCTGATGCTCATTTTTGTGTTCACGCCGAACCTGCCACCGTAGCCTTTGCGTTTCCTCCAAACCCATTAATGGAAATGTTTTCTGTTTGGCAGCATTTCAGACATTTGCTTCAGATCGAGCAGACGTTTGGATGGGAAGTGGAACACAGCTTTACTGTTCGTTAACTTAGACTTTCTGTCACACATTCAGCTTCAGCTGTTCGTAACAAGTACACCCTGTGCTTGCAAACTTAAAATTTTTATTTATTTAGTTTATTGTTTTTTAATATATAAATTCTGAAATAAGTAAATATTTTAAGCTCATGCTTTTACTTTTGATACTGGCTCTGTAATGGGTCACTTTTGACTCAAAACATACCCCAAATCTTCTTTTTAGGCACAGGCCTCCCTTTGTAAAAGAGATCCGTGATCTCARTGGGATTGGCTGGTTAAATAAAGGTTAATAATGATGATAATGCTTTATCTTTTATATGCATAAACTACAGTGGGTATGTTGAGGTTTTGGGGTTTTTCAGAAATGCTGACTGACTCCTTGCCTCAAGGCGATCAGTGAAGATTGGAACAGGAAACCAGAGCTAAAGCTGCTTGATTTTTGTGTCATATTTGAAAAATAAAGGGAACACTTAAACAACGCAAGCTAAGTCCAAGAAAATCAAACTTTTCAACTCTGTACAGAACAAAGTACTCAAAGCGAATATTTCATTGATTAAAATCGGGAGTTGGCGTGCGTTGTTTAAGTGTTCCCTTTATTTTTTTGAGCAATAGTGTTCCCTTTATTTTTTTGAGCAGTGTATATATATTAGTGTTGGGCATAATCGTATCGTTTGCAATTAATCGTCAGAAAAACATTAATCGATTACTTTTTGGCACTTGACGATTGATACGATTAATGCCAGCAGGCAGACTGACCGCTTGGTGCTCCTCTCTGATTCAAATAGGATGAACATTAAAAAAAGTTCTGTAATTTATTCATCTATCGACACAATTTTAAATTTGATGTAAAGCCTGAAGTCTGTAATTTTGACACAATTTTGGAACAATTTGGAAAGATTTGTATGAAGAGTAAATCTTTCCTACTAAATTGGTCATGTGACCAGGACATAAGGATGTCCTGGGGATTAATCGTCAAATTAATCGTTATCGGCTAAATTCCACAATTAATCGTGATAAAATTTTTTGGCAATATTGCCCAACCCT